TGTGGGGCATAAAGAATTAGAAGAATGAAATTCTTGAAAAGTAAAGTAGTTTGGCATATTACTTTATTCTTTTTTTTATTTTTTTTTAAGTAATTCATATTTGAAAAATATTCATCCACCAAATCGAAGTCATGTGGTGCAACCATGATGCAGGGGGGGGAAATGGAAATGAGGTCAATAAAGTTTCTTAAAAATCTCTGAAGTTTATTAAAATGCCATGTGGCGAGTCTCCACAAAACCTAAGATATTTATAAATCAATAATTCATTATATATTTGAACACTTTTAAACTTTAAATATTAAAGGTTAAATTAAATACCTTTTTAAATATTAAAAAATAAACTTTTTTGAAAATAATGATTAAGGTGTACATTCTTGTTTTTAAGAAGTAAGGAAAATATGTTACAACTTTTAACTTGGTTATACCACATAACATTTTTGAAGTCATTGAATTTACATTTTTCCTACGAAAAATGCCATAAATGTTTTTCAAAACCACATGAAACCAACATGAATTCAACGGCTACGTTCACACTGCGAGCCTTAGCGCTCAATTCCGATTTTTGCTCCTAACCGATTTTCTTGTATAGCTGTTCACATTGTTGTTTTAAATGTGGCCAATATCAGATTTCCAGTGTGAACGGATCATGGTTCTGAACTGACCCGCAATGCGCAAAAGAACAATACGAACAGGGTTGCCAGGTTTTCACAACAAAACCCTCCCAATTGCTTCTCAAAACTAGCCTAAACGCATTCCGGGGGTAAACATTGTGTTAGTGGGGTCGCTTGAAAAACAACCCGCAGCAAGAGTGAAAAAGTAGCCCAATTCCACGGGTAAACTGCGGACTTGATTTTTCTTTTATCTTCATTATGCACGCTGTCATTTGTGATCACCTCCACCATGTAACTCCTGGGGGTGCCAAGGATCTCAAAAGACCCAAAATGCTTTACCCTGAAGTCTTGGAGGATGCTATTCTCATAAACAAAGCAATTACGAGTCTAGTTCCCAGGAGCCTCAACTATTAATATGATCCCCCCACAAACCCCTGCATTCTCAGCCAGACCCTTGAGAAAAGATCAAGTCATGTCAGAAGGAAGCAGACTGGACACATAAACAGATCATGCATTTCTCAAACTGTCAGATGCCGGCACTTATCTGGCAACCATTAAGTTTGAGCTCAGTTCAAAGAGAAAGGAGACTAAGAACAGCTAGCAATGTTAGAACATTCCTGAAAATATAAAATCATAAGACGTGTTATCTCGAGACCCTGAAGGGATTCCTAGGAGACCCTCCAAATACAGACAGCCTGCCGCCTCAGTATGGATAAACTTCTTTTATCAGGCAAGAAAATCATCAGCAGAACAAATTTTCGCTTGGTGTTTAATTATACCAGCGCTGTTGAGTCAACACTCCTGGAGAACGTCTCACTCGTCTACAGACTCTACACCAGAAGGATGGAGGCAAGGAAAGATGGCCTCCAGATGACATACACCCATGGGACGACACACACACACACACACACACACAATACAGATGCAAACTCCCACCCACAGAGGCGCAAACATAATCAATCTCTCAACTACAGGCTTTGATAGTGATTAATAGGAAATGAGGGAGAAAAAGGGTCCACTCATGAGAAGTGAAGCTGAGCTTGCTACATTGAGATCACATTCTCACTGTGGCAAGGACATTCTGTCTCTCAATAATGATGGGGAAGTAGTTCATTTCCCAAACGACAACAATGACATGACATACTGTAAATGCAGAACAGTATAACCGTTCCCAAGACTGTAAATTAGGCTACTGGTTGGGATTTCATCAAGAAAGAACTGAATTGTTAAGATCCGTCATCAGATCTTGTGTGTTGTTAAAGTGAGCATCAAGGAAGATACTAATTGACTGATGTCCTCAATTTCTCACCGTCCCAGCCCAATCACATCCTGTCTGCCCTTATCCAATGACTCTGCAGGGAAATACCAAAAAAGAACTGCCAATGATGAAATAAATGGCATTTTGAGGATTTCACTGCTTCCTAGTTTTGACTTCATATGTCGGGTTTGAGGAGTTTGTCGCTCCTCAAGAGGATTGCATATGATAGACACTAGGGTTGGGCGATGTCTACCAAATTGGCATTGGACAATGTCTACAGTGAAACGTCGTGATGGACGATGACATCAGTAGGCGGGGCGGGGGAGTTTGGTGGGGTTAGGGCTGTGCGATTAATCGAAATCGTCATAAAAATCACGGTTTGAGCGTGCGCGATTTCTAAATCGCTTTATAGCATGATTTTCCTCACCCCCGACCTCCCGCAGTATGCTATCCGAAGCATAAATGGAGCACGAGAACAGAACAGACCGGGCGGGCATACAAACGTAACGCCAGGTTCACACACTCAGCCTGTGTTATACTTTCCGGGTCCGCAAGGGTCCGCCATGGTATGCGTGACGTAAAAATCGTCATCGGAGAGTGTGCCCATTTTTTGTGACCGTCAGTAGGCTGCTTCTCGATATACAATATAAAAGACAGCCAGATGTGCAATAACTCTGGGCCATTGTTTGTTCATTGTTCAAGCCGATCTACTGCACATGTATGGAACACGTCCGCAGAGCGGACCATCAGCGTATGCTTTCAGTAGTATAAATACAAGTAGTCCGCGTACACAGACGTCGCAGACACGGACTACTTGTATTTGTACAAGTCAGGATTGCTCACGTAAAAAAGTATAACACACCATCTGTGGTGCGTATTTTTTCCGTGCCCATGTTAACAGATCAGAGCGTTCACACCGCACGTGATTGCAGTCCGGTGTCCTGACATTTTATCCTACCCGTCAGATTGTCCTACCAGGGTTTACTGCGCATGCGCACATCAATATTACGTCCTTTTTCTCATTCTGAACAACAATATTTAATGTATCTGCATTACTGTAAGGGTAGGTTTAGGGTTGGGGTAGGTGTAGACTTTAATAAAACACAATCTAATAGGTAGAACAAATTATTTATTGTTGGTTTCCTGTAGCTGTATCCCTTCTAGCTACAACTGCGAATATAACACATAATTAGTGTATTTGCATTACTGTAAGGGTAGGTTTAGGGTTGTGGTGTAGACATTAATAAACCATAATTTTACAGGTAGCATTTTTCGTTGTCGAATTGTACTACCCAATCTATTTCTGCTGTGCTGCTGTGCCGCACGCACTGATTTAAAGTGACAGCGCATTATTTGCGGTAAAAAAAAAAAACATGGATTGACACTGAAATGTAGTAATAACACCATAAATTCATATAATTAAAGTCTACTGTTTCACAGTCAACACATGGCTTTTTGGCTAGATTTAAAACAAGCAAAAGTGCACTTTTAGATAAACAACGCAATAATAGATGGCACTTGTGGAGGTAGGAAAACAAAGTTATATTTATTGAGTTTAAACTCACGAACGCGAAATATTTTTATATCCTCCCATCTCGTAGGCTATTTATTCCCTTTAGGGTTTCCGTAGTACACTTAATTTCCTTTCCAAACATGGAACTGGGATGCGGGGGGTATGGGGGGAGATCACGATGCCGGCTCAACATCGTGATGTCTGTCAGTCGTCGGCAATGGATGATTGCATCGTTTATCGGCCCAACCCTAATGATGACTCTTGTCCACGATCTAAACCCCTCTTTTAATTCTGCTATGCAAAGACTGCAACTAATTTGACATTAGTTTAAAGACACTAAAATGCATTTTTCCATCAGTCACTGATTATCCTTTCACATGAGATCAGATTTATAGCCCACTAACAAGTAACATTAATCAAAACATAAAATGTTTTTATTTGTTAGTACACTTAATTTCCTTTCCAAAGGGGGGGGGGGGGGTTATCACGATGTCAGCTTAACATCGCGATGTCTGTCGTCTATCGGCCCAACCCTAATATACACAGCAAAATTAACCATCATTGGTCAATACTTTTCTACACCTCCTCAAACACCTAAAAAATGACAATGAAACACAAGTACAGCTAGATTACAATACACAACTTCAGCCCAGATCTGGGGAGAGTCAGAATCAGTCTGTGAATTTTGGCTAGTCAGTGTTAAAACTAATTTCACAGAAAAATTGCTTATGATTGGAGCGGACTCCAGAATTTTACCCTCAAGACTATCACTTCATCTAGCTGGAGGATATTAAGGAAAGACTGCATCCAAATGCGCTTGGTTCATTTTTTCGCAATTTCTCGCGATATAACAGAGAGTAGCAACAGATCTTTCTTTCGTATTGTGATGTACACCCAAAAGAAAGAGAAAAAAAAATTATGGCAAGTACTTGACTCAATTCACTGGTTGTTGACTCTTATCTAATTCCTAATTACAAGTTCCAAGCACATAAATGACCAAACAAAGTTGTATTTACAAGTGGGAAACTCAGAATTCTAGATGATACAAGAGTTGCAGAGTTGTGACGCTGAAAGGGGTGTGTCAATTTGAAACATGGCGGAAACACTCATCTATAATATAGATAATACCATATATCTATCATTTATATAGATGTCGGTGAACAGAAAGCAAGTTTGTAGTGAACGGTGTAAAGTAATTCACTCAACTACCACTGTTTTCTTCATGTAACAAAGTGGTGATATTACATATCATTTGTTTATGCTGCTTCCTTGTTATGTTTCTGTCTTGAATAACAAATGCCTGATTCGGAGTTTCCCAAGTGCACTTGAAGGCTGGCATTTCACTGGATGATCGAGTTATGATATTGTGATTAAGAATAAAAGTTTACATATAAAAAATAAACATGCATGAATGAATTGTTCCCAATAACATGAATTTTGAAAATTGTGTGATTTTGTATTTCATGCAAACTTTAACTAGATTCTAATTTCTAGAAATGAAGTTCAAAACATAGGTTCGGGAGGAGCCTAATCATTCAGTCCTGTCAATCATCATTACAAGCATATATAAGCAGCAGCCACTGAGCCTTCGTGGCAACAATTCTTCCACCATCCCTTCACCTCTGTAACATCTCTTACTATGTGTTGAGGGGGGTTAACTCAGAGCTCAAGCCGAGCCTCGGGATCGAGCCTCCTTCAAGGTCAGCAAGCCAAGCTCATTTACCGTTACCCATTAAGACTGAATGGGCAGGCAAACTGTATGATTGGTGCAGACTCTATACTTTACCCTCAGACTACGAATCCATGTTATCAGTTTGATATTTTGAGCCAACATTCAAGGAAAGCCACACATACAAATGCACTCGGTTGCACTTGAGTCAACTACAGCAGCCAGCTACAACCTTAACTAGATTAGATTTTCTAGAATGCCATATTAAGTGTTATGATTCTTCTCATGCATTAACATTAGTCGATCACCTCTGTAATAACATCTCTGGTGGTGGGTCACTAATTTTGCCATTTTCAAGCTGACTTTTCTCAGAAGTTTCCAATTATCATTGAAAATGGATGACACTCGGTCACTTTGTTGCTCCACATCGCTGTCAGTGGGAACACCCCTTTATGTTAAGCATGTGCAATACTAACAGTGACGCTTGACTGACCAAGAAGCACGGATGTTTGAGCAATATCAATCCAGCCCTGCCTTGCAAGCATTGGAGCTGGATCCGGTTCAAGTATAGCTTTAAATAACAGTCTGTCTTTGTGATGCTCAGCAGAACACGTGGGTCCACTTCATTCATTGATGTAATGCTCCCCCTCCCATCTGCAGGTGTGACCCTGAGTGAGTAGCATCCACAGTAAAGCATGCTCACTGTGCAAAATCAACCATGCACCTGCAGCCACACTTCCTAATACTGGACAACACAAAAGATCCACTTTAATCTTGCATTACTGCAACACAGTTCCATTTATAACACCACACAGCACATGCACACGAGCTCACCTCAGGGCTATAACACACCCAGACAGTTGACTTGATCTCGATCTTCTTCCATCAGACTGATCGAAAGAGGATCCAGACAATGCTTAGACCACCGCCTCCAGTCATGCTGCAGCCCACCTCTCCAGACTGCTGACACGCGCTTCAATTTACGAGCTCACCGCTAGTGAATAATGGCATTATGTGATTGGCAATTCTGATGATCACTGCAGATGAATGCGAATCGATCTGATACTGATCTACAGCGATATTAATCCTTAATGTGGGGTTTTAACAAAGCAAAGAAGGACATTGAGGGAGCGCGCGCGTGTCTTTGTGTCATTATCACCTTGCAGACATCCCTGCATCATCTGACGTCCTTCAGCAGTTATGCAAAACTCAGAACGCAATTAAATGCACCTTGCCGCACACTTGTATACAATGCACGAGACGTGCCAAACCTAAATATAACTTCTGTCTCGATTTGCATTATGCATGTCATTATGCGTGCATGTAACATGTATGTGGCGGCACATGGGAACTACAGTTACCGCGCACAGCTGTGTGTTTGACACTTGCAAGCAATTTTAATTTTGCAATATTGCATCTATGTGCATGTGCCCACCCTATCACCCGGGTCTTACCTAGCGCTGCACACACCCAAAGAACTGCAACAGCCCTGTTTGTCCTATAAACTCTTTGTTTTGAGTGTAAATAAATCAATAAAGCGCGTAAAATACAACGAAGAGTGTGCTGTAGTACAAACAATAGGAAATGATGGTTGCATAGGGGTACAGTCGGGCTTACCTTAAAGAGACCTTGACACAGCAGTCGTTTTGTGTCGCCATGCTTTGTGCTGCCGTTTCACCTCGCCTGTCAAAATGAGAAGCGATGCCGTGAAGTTCTCGCAAAGTTTGCGCACGAACTGCAAACACTCTTGTGCGTTAACAACAGGCGAGCCACCGATCCGGTCCGTCAATCAGCGTTACGCAGCCAGACATCGCGGCTCAGCTCTAGAATACAGCTGAAAGCAGCACAGTGGCGTATAAATCGCATGAAACATGACGGAGCTCGGCATATTTTCTTCCTCCGAGCTCGTATCCTGTCATATATGCGAGTGGTGCTAGAGCGTGCATCCGAAACCACGCACAGCGCCTGTGTGCCGCACGTTCAATGTGCAGCGCTCTCTGAGAGCAGTGTGGGCGTGTCTAAACGCAGATGATTGGCACGCCTCACGACCACACATAGCTGCTGTCCCCGCCCACATATGGATGTAATTGGCCAATTAGAGCTCAGCGGCGGATTACCTTTAAAAGCAGATTTAGCGGTCGTAGATTCAACGAAGCTTCAGTTGACACGTCTGAACGTTGCTTTGGGAAATCCGATTCATGCAAAACAAAACCGAAGAACGATTCACTACTACTTTACTCAAGGGTACTGAGAAATAATTGAGCTTGTAATCTTACGTTGTTTTAGTTATATAAATGTGTTTCTGTTTTTACATGATTAAAACTGTTAATCTGAACAAAGAGTGAAATTAACGTAAAACTGTACATGCATGTCTACTCATTATGTGAAAATTATTTATTCATTTTTACACAAATGATAACTGTCACTTTGTTGTGGCGTCATTTCCATCAGAACCACAAACCCTCATAAATGTATTTATTTTTGTTACAGTGAAGTGCATGCTTGATATGAAATATGGGGCATGTGATGTGTAAGAATGTGATGTGAAGATGTGTGCCATCTCCAGTCAAGATCATCTCTTCTCATGTAAATTATACAAAAGGGTCTTTCATTTTATCCATTGTGTTTAAAGTGTCAGCCTTTAATGTGATCAGACAAAATACAACATTTAAAACGTGGTGGAGATGCTCCTGTGATGCATTTAAAGGCACAATATGTCATTTTCGCTGCTTGAGGGCGTGTATTCAAAATGCACAAAGGCGTAGTTTGATGACGCCGTGACTGAGTGTGGAATCATGGGAGTTGTCGTCTTCATCCCCACACAGCTGACGCAACCCGACGGGGCTCGGGCAGAAATCATGAGCATGGATGAGCTAATGATTTATTAACGTAGTAGAATGAAGCAGAGTGAGGCGGAAAGCCGTCGAAGTGAAACAAGGCCGCTGAACGAGCGCGACACACGGCTCGAAAGCAGCGGAGCTTTTATTATGCCACACTTTAGCGCTTCCGCTGCTTCCGTTCGTGCGTATGTGGGGTAAAGCAGCGGAGCTTTTAATATGCCACACTTTAGCGCTTCCGCTGCTTCCGTTCGTGCGTATGCGGGGTAAAGCAGCGGAGCTTTTAATATGCCACACTTTAGCGCTTCCGCTGCTTCCGTTCGTGCGTATGTGGGGTAAAGCAGCGGAGCTTTTATTATGCCACACTTTAGCGTTTCCGCTGCTTCCGGTCGTGCGTATGTGGGGTAAAGCAGCGCTGTTTAATCATACTAGACACGTTTGAAAGTTCTGTTATAATGCTACTCTGTGCGGTCGTCACCGGTCTATTAAAACACACAACATATTAAAGCATCTTTGGTGTTTCCGTGTTTTCTACAAAACCGGAAATCGAGGGGTTATGACGTCATTGGCAGGCGACACGATGACACTATGGACACGCTCTTATTTCTCTGGATTTAAACATTCTTGGAAACATTTGGGATAAGTACACAAGTCAGCAAAATATATAACACTGTTCTAGTGGTTTTTGGATATTTTAATTAAAAAAATCTTAGATATTGTGCCTTTAAATCCATTTTCGGACAACGTTAGTAGACAAATTGCGAATCGGTTCCACTGAGTCATTAAAAAGAATCGGTTCAAATGAAAGATTCATTCGCGAAACGAAAGTCACATCTGAAAAGCATCTAAAGGCTGCTAACGTGGAATTGTTCTGGGTTCAAGGGGCATGATTTATGACACCCCATTAGTCACAGATCATACACAAGAGAGCAAAGTCAAAACAAAATAATAAAAAATGTACTGGATTTAGCCCACACTACCATAATAACAAGCATGGCTGTAAACGGTTGAGAAACAAAGAGAAACTTTCACAACTTTACTTCTGCATTAAAAGTGGAACCATAAACTGTGTCAGTTCAAACAGTCGCAGACAGCTGTGAGGAACAAAAGCATGCTTTATATCCTTTAATTTTTAACAAGACTAGAAATATGAAATGCATTTGTTCTCAAATAGAAACCCAATGAAATCGTTTGAGCTTGTAACTTCAATCTGACATTATAATAGCTCAGAGTAATGAAGCAGCTGTAATGGGAGCAACTGTAGCAGTTTTTCTAAGATTAAAAAACAGCCCTTCGTCCAAATAACAACTAAATAATTTCACAAGAACACCAGATTCTCATGAGGATTATATTTTGCCTGTGGAAGTATCAGATGCAGTCCTGTAAAACCTAAAGAAGCTGTTTCATATAAATTAATGCATGTTGCATTATGCAGAGCATGCAGCCGCCCACAATCCAAAGCAGGCAAGAGGGATTCTGAACCCATTCAACCAGACGCCCCCATCATAAATGACATCTCAAAGGAAGCGAATGTTTAAGAATATCCTCGAAAACCTGTCTTCTGGATTATTGACTTATGTAAGTGTTAAGTTTATGCTATTTTAGAGACTTAGGAGAGGTTTTTGTGTTAATCTTGGTTTTGTAAGCCGATGTTTTTGAAAATGCCTCCTTAAATATGTGTCTTTCACCTTTCACCTTAATTTTATCATAATTAATCAGATTCTAAGATAAATCTACATATGATTTCTCTAAAATACATAACCAATCGAAGCCAAAAAGAAAACATACACACACACATATGTACGGTGACCGAGAAGTGCAAAACAAATCACAATTCTGAAAACAAAATAACAAATTACAATCGCAAATGCAAGTCTAAAAAAACAAAATAACAAGCCAGAAAACACAACGACAAATCCGAAAACAAATTAACAAGTCAGAAAACACAACGACAAATCAGACAAACCGGAAGAGGTAGGTATAGTTTGAGACAGCGCCATTGGTTTGGGATTACTCACTTACTTTTTATTGAAAATAAATGCCTTTACGATGTGATATGAGATTTGAAAAGGGAGGGAAAAAAAGTTCGGCAAAAGGTGGGATCGAACCCGGGTCGATCGCGTCAAAAAGCTGACGACATGCGCTTATCCATCTGCGCCACTGGAACTGATGAGTTCCAGCTACTTTTAACTAAGTGTAAATTGACACTCCGTATTTTTTATTCCAGAGTAAGGGCAATTCATACAATACATTTAAACTGAGCTACTTTAATACCATCTCCGAACTTTCTACCATGACTCTGCTGTTCCTCAGGTGGTTCTTCCTGTATACGTTGATTGACAGATGTCTCGTCCAGTCAGCGGTGAGTAATCCCAAACCAATGGCGCTGTCTCAAACTATACCTACCTCTTCCGGTTTGTCTGATTTGTCGTTGTGTTTTCTGACTTGTTATAATGTTTTCTGAATTGTTGTTGTGTTTTCTGAATTGTTATTTTGTTTTTTAGACTTGCATTTGCGTTTGTAATTTGTTATTTTGTTTTCAGAATTGTGATTTGTTTTGCACTTCTCGGCCACCGTACATATGTGTATGTCTATGTTTTGTTTTCTTACTGTTTTCCTATAAATACATAGCAAGTTGTACACACACACATATAGGCTATACTATATTCCATATATTCAGAATGACACAGATTGTGACGTGCATTTTCATTTGTCTTTGATGTTTCCTTAATCCCTTTTGCGCAGTTTGCTATATTTAGTTTTGAGGTCATAAGCTGATTCAATTTCACATTCTTTAATCAACCTTTTGCATCCATATTATTGTGCATCCAGTTTTTGCTAACTCATATCTGCCCATGGGTTACCAAAGGACTAATCCTAATTCATTCAACTCTGCACTGTGCAGATGAATTTGAACAAATTAAAATTGCAGTAGAGTTTTTGATGACATGGCTCCAGTCTTTACAGATCCCAGCACACTTCACTCTAATGGTCGCCCCACACTAGACAAAAGCTTCCATACAACAGCCAGGAAAAGAGCGGTGTGGTTGACTCGTTCAGTGTGTGTGTGGGGGGGGGGCACATTAGCCACAGTCCATGTCTGTTTCTATCCTGTGAATACAGCAGCCGCACATTTAGGTAGAGAGAGAGAGGGAACAGCCAGGCACAGAGTCAGCTGACAGCTCTGACTTCATCTAGGTCAGTCTGCTGCATGTGTGTATATCTGTGCCCCTGGGCTACACACACAACACACACACACGTTGACACACAGACTCCCTCATCCATTCCCAAATTTCATCCATCCTCCCCCCAGCAACATCACCATCTGTGTGCGAAGGGGCTTGCCAAAGCGCCCAGGTTAGAGCCCAGTGTTCACTTGATCTGGTGTAACATGAAAAGTCAACTTGCAACACGCTGACTGTGTGTATTTCTCCAGTAAACAGAGTGATGAGGGATACTCACCCTTCTTTGTTCCAAACCTGCATGCCTTTCTTTCTTCTACGGTACACAGAAGAACAGTTCTGGTGCCCATTAACATTGTATGGACAAAAAAACTGAGACATTTCTCAGAATATCCTCTTTTATGTTCCACGGAAGAACGAAAATCATACAGATTTGGAATAAAGGCAGGTGAATAAATAAGGACAGAGTTTTCATTTCTGGGTGAACTATTCCTTTAACATTCTACTGTAGAATTACACACAGTCACAATGTTGCAAGTTTACTTTTCACATTAGACCAGATCAAGTGAACATTGTGCTCCAACTTAGGTGCTTTGGCGCCCGTTTTTGGGTGAACTAGCCCTTGTGAAAATGAAGTCTGCTTAATTGTATTGAATGTGCTCTTGTAGTGTACTTAAAATCTTAAAAAGTATATATTTTTAAAAAGTGTGCGTACAAGAAAATATTAATGAAATAAATGGCCTCTTAAGTGTACTTAAAGTCCACTTTCATCACTGTTTCCTAACACACTTAAGTACACTTCGTAATAATGTCAAATGAAGAGTTTTAATATTCTTTTGTCAATAACACTAAAGGACGGTAAGTCCTTGATTATAATTATAAAAGTGTGTTATTCAATTTTACATGCAAAGTTAATATATTTTAAATGTACCAAATGTTCTAAACTGTATCATTACAGATGTGCAATCACAAATATATTTAAATACATGACATACAAGTTCCAATAGACAAAAAAAGGCATTAAAGTATATTTTAGTTTACCATAA